ACAAGCCGCGTCCCGTGGACGGACCAATCGCACCCAGTTTTGTGATCAGTGACTTCATTTCCCGCGGCCAAATTAACTTTTACCCACCTGGAGCCTTGCGCCACCCTACTTCTGGCGAATAAAACAAGGTCCTCCTCGGTAAGCAGTGACCAGACATACATAGTTCCTGCCCCAGCGAACGCATCGTTTATTGCTATTTGTTGCTCTAAGGAACTAGTCAGGTAATCACCGCTTAACACTCGCTTATGCACATCATCGTTGCGAACACGCTGGTGCCACCCGATACCAGCAATACTTCGCAGACAGTGATGGTCAATGACTTAAAGGCGCTCCAACTTCTCGGATCGGAGGGGCCAAGTTTCCCTCAGACTAGAACGACCCTCAATGTGGTCTTGTAAACACGGCTTTTCAGACCGAGGCAAACCTTTTTTGGCGCCACAAATGTCGCAGATTCAAGTAGTGCTAACTTTTGCAATGCATGAACTGACTTCAGTCATTATGCGCCCATCGTTGATGTTGCATTTGCCAAGGTAAGTGAATTGATCAACTACCTCGATTTTCTCGCTAGTTTGGGTCTAGATGTCCTCAAGTGGCTGGTGGTCCTGCAGCAACACTTTGCGCTTTGAAGGTGCGAAGCACGTACTAAATGATGGGACCATTTTAGAGACATTATTCAGGGTAGATTCGTTTCTTGCTCACTGGTTCGCCGCCCTAGCTTGATGAGAGCACACCTGAGGTGCTCTCGTCCAGATCGATCCATATCCGGACGAGTATATACCTTCTCGCTTCTCAGCCTACTCAGACGAACCAGTGTTAGCTTTTGGCTGGGTTTATCGAAAAAAGCTATCTGTATAGATCGATCCTTCTCAGCATTGTTTTTGCCGAGGTGGATGACTTGCGTCACTTTTCACCCACTTCAAGGAGCCTATCTACCAGGCCCTGTAAAATCTCAACGTTTTAATCATCGCTTACCTGAGGACTTGGGTCGGTGGACTCAAGCGCATGAAGAAGCACCAGTTTTGATCACCTCTTATCATTCTCTGTGTTTGCTGCGGAAAAAGCGTGACCTCGATTCTTGCTTAACCTAATCAGTTGTTGATCAGCAGTTGGGAAGCTTTGCTACTTTTCGCGGCTTCTTCTGTCGTTGGTTTCCGCATGGCTCTTCAGCCATCGGGCATTCATCATCTGGGTCTTTAGCGCTTTCGGAACACAACGTTATTGGGCCACTAGTCTCGATTTGAGTCGTGCTTCCGGAAAAATTAAAAATGATGAGGTACTGAATTTTCAGGGGAAGGGGAGGAAGACTGGATTAAACTGTTTCCAAGGTCATGTCTAGAACTGTTCATAGTTAAATAAGTTTAACCACGGTCTGCACCGGTCTATGTCACACATTTCTATGGCTGTCTTCCACTGCTACAATCATTGCATAAAATATGAATGAAATTCTGTTTAATGAACGCAAGAGCCGATGGGAATCACCAGGTAATTCAACACACGAAATAGGAAAGCTAGAACAGCCATCAGTGCAAGTAAGGACACTTACCGTATGCCCAACATTTTTCGGACAGGAATTACTTGATGATTTTTTCGACATTTTGAAAAATATCGCATAAGTCACCTGAAATCATTCGGCGAAATTTACAAAACCTAGCCATCTGCAGAAATATTCCACACAAGATATGGTCCAAAATTGCAGATTCAAAAGTGTAACTGAATGACGGCACGAAATAATTCCGTTGTTCCTGTAAATCCGCCAATAAGTGGTCCTGACAACACAATCACGGGATAAACAACCAGACACCACCGCCAGTCGCGCTCGGACTGAGTTTACCGCGAGGACGCCCACCCCTACGCGGATTCGAACCGGTGACCTTATGGTTGCAAACCAAACGCACAGACCACTCGGCCACCGGCCTGTTCACAATCTGCTCCAACTACAGAGGCATAAGTTTAGTCCCCGTCGTTTGCAAGCTGTTGGTGTTCATCATACTTCACAGGCTATCCCCAATGCGCGAATCGTTGCAACGAGAAAAACAAACTGGGTTTCGTCCTGGTCTCGACTGCATCGATCAAATCTTCACACTCCGCCAGATCCTCGAGCTCCGCCATGTGTATCAGAGGCCAACGATTGCTGTGTTCCAGGATATCCGTGCAGCCTTCGATTCTGTCGATCGTACGGTATTGTGGCACTCTACTGAGGAATGGTGTCCCGGAGAAGTTCATCTCTACTGTGCGCTCTACATCGTCTGACCTCGGGCAGGGTTAGGACTTATGGCAAGCTTTCGCCTACCATTGTGGTCTCCTATTCTACTATGCCATTGAGGATGTGTTGAAGAACTCTCTAGGCGATTCGTTGAACGCTGGCGGTGAACTCCTCCTAGGTAGTCGAGTTGTTGATTTGGACTATGCTGATGGTATCGTCTTGCTGGGTGACGATCCACACGTCGTCCAACTTGCACTAAACCGCTTGGCGATTGAAGCATCAAAGTATGGTATGTACTTTTCGCCAATTAAATGTAAGGCTGTCTTTCAAGACTGGCAGGTGCCTCTGCCTGCACTCACTCTTGGTGCTGAGACACTAGAGGTTGTGGAGAGCTTTGTCTACTTGGGAAGGTGCATCACTGCTGGCGGGGCTGTTGGAGACGAGATTTCGATGCGCATTTTGGAAGCAGGCCTCGCTTTTCTAAGGTTGAGGCACTTGTGGCGTCGCCACGACATTCGTCTCTCCATCAAAGGGCGGGTCTATTATGCAACTGTTTGTGCTGTACTGTTGTACGGATGCGAGACCTGGCCCATTCGTAACGATGACTTGCACAGACTATCCGTTTTCGAGCTCTGCTGTCTGCGATCCATTGCCTGTGTGTGGTAGCAGCACCAGGTGGGCAATGTGGAAGTTAGACAGCGTGTCTTGGGACGTGGAAGCCACTCGCTCGAGGAGCTCATCTCACTGCATCAACTGCGGTGGTTGGGACACGTATTGCGCATGCTTGTCCAGCGTTACCCGCGTCGTGCGTTGTTTGCGGTTTGCAGGACAGGGCTGGAAGAGACGGTCTGGTGGACAGCTTACAACAGAAAAGCCGCATGAAAACGCTGACGAAACAGTTGGCCTCGGCCGGTTGTTGTCAACTACCTGGTTGGGGTCCGAGAGATGCGGATACTTGCTGATTGAGGACCTTGGAAGCCATGGTTCAAGATCGATGTCAATGGCGGACGTGTGCATCGGTGTGTTGCGGTGTCCTTTCTTTCTCCCCCTGATAGAAAGAACAAACTGAAAAAATTTCAAAAACTGAGTGGTGAACTAGACAAAAAATCTTTTGTTGATGTTGTTGTTGCTCTTTTCTGTTTTCTGTTGCTCTTTTCATACTGTTTTGCTTTTCATCCATGATTCCGATGGCACCATATCTTTACCACAGATTATGTATACTATATATAATCGTGTAAGACGCGCAGTAGACACATACGATTGCCCCTCAACTTGATGCTCAGTTCACAGTTAAAGCTTATGCGATCCGTATGTGATCACCGTACATACCATCGCCTACGTTTATGCATATTTATTTGTTAGATTTACACAAGCACACCGCTGCCAATGGTTCTGTGTTGAATCCCACCAGTCATTTATTTTATCGCTATGCTTCTGTCACGTTATTAAGGCTTTCTAGTACTGGTCAATAAGGCTTCTTTTCCTAATCATTCTTTATTGGCTGGTGCCAGCACGGTGCCGATCCTTCACCGTAATTATTTTCTTAGTTATGATAGCTTTTAAAATTTGTCGTAATACAGTAGCTTAGACTTCTGTTCGCTAAAGCCAGATCGTTGTTTTACTCTTCTCATCCGGCAGCGGTTTACACTTCATTGACTGACCCCGAACTGACCGACTGGCTGTCTAATGCTTTTCACGATGATGAAAACCTTCCGTGCAGGTGTTACTGCAATGTGGTCTATTTAAACGACTCGCTTGTAACTGGTCTTCATTTTTTCAGTCATGTTGTCCACCATTGCCCCCGTTATTTTTACCCTCGCATCCTTACTATTTTCTCATAGTTATTTTTCAGTCAACGCAGTGTTAGTACGGCCGTCACAACAAGACCGGACCTTAATGTGGTTTGACAGTTTGCGTTCCTCGTCGGCCCACTGAGCTATACTACGTACTTCCCTTGGGCCTCCTAAGAGCTACTCCTACCAGGTTTGTCAATGGTTAGAGGTCGGACGAATTCCCTCTCCTGGTCGTCTGGGTTGTGGGTTCGAAGTGCGATGGCGTCCATTTATGTATAACCGAAGCTTCGCCACCTCCCCGCTGTCTTGTGGACAGGTTTTTGAGCCAAAGGCTTTGGTTTAGGACCCTAATCATTCTTCTGACTAGATCTGGGCCCCCTGGCAGTAGCTCAGCTCACGTACGACCACCACTTCTACAAACAGTGCTATTACGGCCAGTTCCTGTTGCTCGCCCACCATAATGCTGATTCGCTACACGATTTCCTACACGCATACTTCTGTTCAAGTATCTGCATTTATGTTTTCGCACGTATGGACATTTTCATCTTCCACACATAACTACTAGTTAAAGCTGTGGTGGGAGAAACTTCACGGCCTCAGTTTCGGATAAGTGAGTGCACTTATGTGGCTACATTGCGAGTATGCTGTTTCTGTCTTCGAGCTTTGTACAACATTCGTCCGTCTTACCATCCGGACTGACTTCTTATTTATCCATGCTTACTACATTATTTGTTCCATATGTGGAACTACAACTTCTACCTCGATTCTTCCTTGGCCATTCGGTTTCCGATAAGATCCAACCAGAGTGTGTGTAATTGATGCATGTTTCGGCGAATCAGCTGGCGTTTCAGCAAATAGTGACCCAATTCGGAGTACCGTGTGCTTAAACAACATTTTGTGTAGCGCTTTAATCTTTCCTTAAACTCGCTATACTTTCACAAACTATCGGCGTTACCACCTCTGTCAGTTGCCTTGTTACTAACTTTTCATGTTTATTTCCACAGAATGACCAATTCTTAGTGTACAAAACCTGTCGTGGCGTACTGTTAAAACTAAACGTGGCGTATCCGGCGTCCAACCACCCATTGTTTGGCATGTTCTCCCCAGATGGGTCTATGGTGGCGTTTGCTGCGGCCGACCGTTCCATTTCCGTCTATATGGTAAGCTTTCGTTTGGTATGTATCTCGTATGTTCATAGCTTCCTTTGACTGAAAATTTCACCGTGTAAACTGGTAGCTGCTCTGATACCGCTTACATTGCGGCAAATAGCCATTTTGCGACTAATGCCCTTAAGGATCACAAACCTGCCTTGTAATCCGGAGGTCGCGGGTTCAAGCCTTTCTAGGAGACCGGGTGAATCTCGCGGTATCTTTAGCCCACGCACGACTGTTCGTGGTTACGCCGCAGCTAGGCGTCAGGACTGAGCACCAGACATTTGGTGTTGTCCGTTTCTTAGCTTAGCTCGATGCTTTATGCTCATCTACTGAAACCCTTGACAATGATCTTGTTACTTCTGGCTGAACAATTCACCCGCTACTCGTCCTATCTCCATGTGCCGTACTTCTAAACATTGTGCCATCAGTACTTCACACCTGCCACCACAAATGTCACTCACAATACTGTTAACAAGTTGCCATGACAAGTTCAATTTAGCTCACTAGGATGTGGTGAATTCGGCTGCTTTGACTCATGTCATAACGATTGAGTGCACAATGTGTGTACGTGGGCGACATCACTCAGTTACGTACTTTTTAGACACAGTCGATACACGCCACGCTTGACTTAGTCTAGTGTTTCCCGACATTTTTGGTTGCTGATCCACTGAAATTATCAGGAATTATTTACGGCACGTCTGCATGTAAAAAAGGTTAAAGTTCTATGAATATTCACTTGTTCTGGGTGCATTAAGCACTTTCTTGACTTAACTTGACATACAGAAAGAAATTATTGATTTACACAATTTATTCACCGAGAAGGCTGAGCATGTGTTTTTGAAAAACTAAGTGGAAGCAAAGTTCTAAAGTCGTTCGTAAGTGCGAATTTCATCGTCAACTTTTATGTCTCTCGTCTTTTTTCATTTAATTTCTGTCGACGCGGAAAATCTAAATTCATAGAACCTTGAACATTCAGATGAATTTTAATTGCTCTCAGTCCGCAAGGTACAAACTTTTGATAATAATACTTGATGTTTCTGGAACCAATGAGTTCTTCTGTTGTTGTCAAATTTGATGTCTTGGAAATCACAAATGAGTTGATTAACCATTCATATTCGTCGCCTGAAAGCATAAAAGAACAGCCTTTAAGTGAGATTCGGAGTTCCTTAGTGATTCTCATAATCTCATCTGCAATTATTTTATCGGCTGAGATTCACTGATACCTCGAAAGCGGTCAAAATGTTTTGATGTTTCATGTTTCTGTAGTGTTCATTTTTCTTAAAGTGATTTTAGTTTCGATGATGATATTACGATGTTTCCGGTTCGACTTTGAAGTCTTCGATTTAGAGTTCAGCTTTTCAAACGAATTCAATAGCAATCGAACTTTAAGCCACCAGATATCTTCATGTAGAGAAAATCCGAAAGATTTTTTCAATTTCCATGGATAAAATCACACCTGCTTACAGCGTATGATTCGTTTCATAACCTTCCCCTTCGAAAACCATTGCACCTCGGTGTTATATATCGGTGTTTCATAGTCGAAACACATTGCGTCGCATGGCCGGAAGAAAATTCAGGTTTCAAGCGGTTGATCGAATCGATCACTTGGATGAATTAGTTCATAACAATCAACATATCTGGGATTGAAGATTTTGCAACGAGAGATTCTCTGTGAATCATGCGGTGAGTTGGGAGTGTTTCGTTGTTGCTCTCTGCCAACACTGCACTGCACGACTGACCGGTTTTATCCTGATTTGTTCTCGTCCGGTAGGAATAGCTTGAGATGTCGGGTGAACTCGACACATCGTAATGGGCGGCTATGGCTATGGTCAACAGGTCATTGAGCCCCGTAAACAGCGCTTGACACAGCAGTTAGAGGTTCAATGTCGGGTTTTTGAGTACATGCCGTCTTTCTCGGATTTCGGCTGGAAGTTCAGTTCGGTTCTGCTATAACCATGCTTCGCGGATAAATCGCAGAGCAGATTCAGAACACGGATGTAAACCGTGATAACAACCCACCACTCGATTACACGCTTTCCGAACACATGCTACCGATCGCAAAGTCTACAGCTTGGTAAACATCGCACAGTGACCTGACTTATCTTTATTGACGTCCGTCTTGTTCCTCTGTCGTATTACCGACCTTGTCGGCCGGTTGCCGAGTGGTCTGCGCGCCTGGCTTGCATTCACAAGGTCACCGGCTCGAATCCGCGTAGGGGCGGGCGTCCTCGTGTTAAACTCCCCCCCCCCGCGCGACTGGTGGTGGTGGCGAGGCAGTGAAGCGCTGTTACAGCGTACAGCTTCCGGTTATATTTTTTATTTTTACTGCCCCCCTTCCATTAAACTTTTCAGATAAGTCCCCATTCTCTTCCTCTTATTATTCTTTATTTCGTAGGTCACTGTGGTTGTATGCCAGCGAAGCATCAGTCCAAGTGGCTGATGTACTGCTGTTGTTGATTGATTGAGCTTCGCTCGATTGGAACAAGGCTGAAAGGATTCACGGATGTATCCGGTTAAATGGCATGCGAAGAATGTGATCTAAATAAAGTGGGCGACCCAAATCTGGTACTCATAAAAGTACATCCGCAAACATTCCATTTCTGGCATCAGCACTACCTAGCAGACGACTTGATCAAATTTGTTCATTGTCTCTTAACCACTGGTGTTCAGTTGATGCTCCCGTCATCCTTTTTCGCATGCAGTGGCATTACGTTGATACAAGCTGCACCGCAACATTTTTCGCTGTTATTTTAATCGATAAGCTGATCTGTCTTCTCACTGCTTTTGTCTTCGAGTAGCTGCTTTCGTCTTACTGACTTTCGCAGCGCTTTCATCCATTTGCCTTCTCATCCTCAACTGTTCCATCTGGAATCCCGTCTTACTTGACCCGATCGCTCGTTTCTCTCTCCTTTCCTCCACCTTATTTTTTATGTTGCGTGCACCGTCTTCGCACCATGGTTACCGAACCATATCTCTGATAACTTGGAAGCAGACGTCGCTGATAGCAAGTCGTGTAACAACCCTTAAGATGATACTTTCTTTCAGCACAACAATGCCGTCCAGTTGGTGTCAATTTCAGTCGGCTCGACGCCGAGTCCACCGTCTGATTAAATGTGATAATTCTTGAGCCCATCCTCCTCTTTTCCTTTACTGGTATCTCGTCCAGCTACCGCATGGCCACATTCGTTTACCAACTAGTTCTATCCGAAATAGTCCAATTGCAGTGGGTTTCGTTTTCTTCATGCTCTCCCGTTTGAACATTTTATTGGTGTTGTAGTAAAAACAGACGAATTCAACTTGCTTCATTGCGTTTCATCGCACATATCACTGTTTCAGTCACTTTCAGTAATAGTCCAAACTAGCAGCATGTGGTTCCAGTCCTACAACAGCGCTTTGCGCTTGTACCTTGCGAGGCATCCGCGCTAGATATACACCTATTCAGCATCGCCTTTTTAGCAGCTTTGCTGAAATCTAAGCGGGTTTTCATCTGCATATTTTACCCACCATTGGACCAGCTGACTAAACACCCATTATCCATCCAGATCGCCAAAGCCTGGACTATGTTTACTCATTCTCATCAGGATTAAACATGAACCGAGACGTTAAACAGCCCTTGTAAGCCCCACTAGAGGTGACAGTCCCATTGGGTGGCTTCCTATCAACCGGTGCTCTGTTCCTTGAGTTGCACTGTAGAAGTTCTATGGGGGTTTCTTCAACGTGGACTTCAAATAGGGACACTACAAACTTGTGCGATCAGCGAGCGAAGAATGCAACTGTGAATGCTACACCTAGGTCAGATGTTACTGAAATGTCTTGCGAAGCGCAAAGTTATGGTCAATGCGTCCTCTAGCTAGTCTGTTTCGCACTGACCCGGTTCCCATAAAGATCTGCGTGTCGCCGAAATACAACACGTGCGAATACTTTGTGGACGATGGAAGTGTAGACAATATCGTGTCTCACAATAAGTTCTTCAGTCCACTAGAAATGGGAATGGCACTTGTTAACTGCTGATTACTGGTCACTTTCTCTTTGTGTCAAATGGCCTTAAACGTAATGACTGAATCAGTCACGATTGCGTAGTCATTGTTTTTTCGCAGCGACGTAGGATACTCGTAATCAGGCATCTTGTTTCGCTTCAGCAGCACCTGTTTGTTTCAGATCTCGTTGACCAAGGAAGATGATGACCGAAGTAGGTCGGGTGCAGTTCGTGAGTTCGTGCCACACATGCATATTCCACAACATTGCTTAACAGCGAGTGCGTTTATTGTTTACTTTCGTTAGGAGAGCTTGTTTTGATCTCTTACCATTTTACCAAAGCCTCTAGTTTCGTTAGATTCATCCCTTAACTACCGGTAATTGAACGACCTAATCGGTCTACTCAGTTGTTATCAATATGTATGCGGCAACCTGTGTTTGGCGAATATTTGTCAGACCTTGTCTATCCTTCTACGTTTTTCAACTTCACTAGTCCGTGCAATGGGCTAGCAACAAACACATTAGTTTGCACTGTCCCATGAACTTCCAAAACGCGCAACATTCTTTGTTCGTCTTATTTGCGGCAAATTTAGGAGTCGCCCTTCTAGTATTACGACTTCGGCTCCATCTGAATTACATTCCCTACTGTGTACTGACCGGATTTTATTTCGGCCTCCATGACATATTGTCTTCAAGGCCGAATAGGGACAGATTCTGTGAATGTGCCTTCTGATGCGTTGTTTCTCGATGGTCTCCTTTCAGGTACAGGACAATGAAGATCCAGAACAAGAGCCCATTTTTACTCCCGCGTGTTCAGAATTGTGGCAAAGGCATTCGGCGCGGATCACTGCTCTTGGATGGAGCCCTAATAGTAGGCGAATTGCCACCGGATCTTTGGATACTTGTCTTATAGTTTGGTCGCTTGATAATCCGAAATGCTCAATCCAACTTCGTGGTAAGTCGAGTGGGGATCAAGAAACACATGGAGTTTAGTCCATTGCTTCCATTTGTATATCTCCGATTATTTGCTGATAACAGCTTTTGTGTTCCAAACCATCAGGGCCTTAAGTAACAGCGTGTCGTGTAATAAGTGCGTTTCACTTACCCGTTCCGCTGTATAGGATGACATCCCGACCCGCGATCGGATTGGCCCTTTGGTTCATCCTTCTTTTGTCACTACTGCTGTTCACACTAACTCTGCACTGGCTATCTTGACCTTCTGACGCTTTTCTGTTCCAATCTGTCCCCACTGATGCCGCGGATTTTTGGATCATTGTATGCTGAATACTACTTTTGCTTCGGATTACTGTGTTATCAATGTTTTTTATGTGTGAATTGTTCACCAATATTCTTTTGGCGTCTTTTCCAATCGGTGAAAATTTGGCGGCTATTCTTTGGCTAATTCCGGAGATCTCATTGATTTGCCCTGCCGCCATCTTGGATTTACTCTACCTTGTGATACCGTCTCAAGCTACTTGTGGTTCGTGTTCGAGTTGTGGGAAATAAGGCTCATGTACTTCGGTGCTTCAGCTGCAATGTTTTGTTCCGTAGTTCGTGCATCGACTTATCCGTCCACTTGTTTCGAAAATCTCTCGACATTCGACATCGGTTTTTCCAACTTATATGTGATAAATGTCGCGGTGCAAAACATCAGAATACGCAGCGACCGCTAACAACTACGGGAAAACCTCTCTTCCAGACAGAAACAAACCGTTCATCACGTGGGGTCAAACGCCCTCGTGAAAACAACTCTATCACCTCGCCTTCCCTTGCCACTCCGCGATCTGCGCCACCACCACCAGCGTATTCGACCCCGGTCGAGACTCAGGTCCAATGTTCCCCACCGATGGAAAACTCGGACTCGGAACCTACGAAATACCGCCTCACTGATATCGGTCCGTGAATTTCTCAAAGCCTGTCTGTGAACTTATGAACACTGAGGATCCATGGACCACTCAAAAGCGCAAGGGGTCACGTAATCGAGTTCAGGCGATGCCTGTTGATAAACAACAACCCAATCAGATAAGCTTCTCCAGTTCTGCTCCCACAGATTCATCACCGATTTCGCTTAGTCATAATCTCATGGTCTTCCACGTACCATAGTTAAAAGATGAAAACCCTCAGATAGGTTCTGATCACGATGTTGAGTTCCTCCAAGGGCTCATCAATAGACTCCTGGATGTGGGCAAAGACAATGTGACGATTATAAACAATTAATCCGACTTGGCCAGAAAACTAACCAGTCATGTCGACCTCTGAGAATCACCTCTGCAAATCACAATATTACTGTTAAGTAGCAGGATTTTAGTTGTACTTTTGTTAAGGTTTTCATCCTAGTAGTTCACAAGCTACACAGCAGAGCTTAGTCTGGAACAGCACCAGACGCGTTTCGCCCTATTGGGGCTCATCAGTGGTGCGCACTCCCTCGGTCCTCTAAGGAGGATGGAACCCATGACCGCTAGATGCAGATGCCAACTAGCCAGCAGCTTAAGCCACTGAGCCATGGGGGACGTTGGCCGGGATACATACTTTGCAAACTAACTGGGATATAGCACTACCTATCTTCCACTGTCACTGAGTGGTTAGCCTACGAGGTGATAACGTCCTTTCACTAGACGCTATATCCATACCAGTTTTGAAGCTAGGGGATGCGCACCACTGACGAGCTCCAATAGGGCGAAACGCGTCTGGTGCTTTTCCGGACTAGGCTCTGCTATGTAGCTTGTGAACTACTGGAATGAGAACCTTAAGAAAATCATATTATGCCGCAGCTCATACTGTCTCGTCTGTCAAGGTTGAAAGGCACTAAAGTTCCCATCCGTCGAGACTTGGAACCCGAAGACAGGGATCGTTTGAAGACTGCGGTCATTGAGCTCAAACGCCGCACTGAAGAACGTGAGACTGACTTACAAATTGTAAATTTTCGGGTGATCAACTAGTGTATACGAACCTGTATCAACCGGTTGCTCCAGCTCCAAGCACGTCCCGCGGTACCTCCCAGGACCTCCGTGTGGCATTCGTCAACATGTGCAGCCTAATGAACAAACTGTGCCACTTCGCTGTCTCGGAGCGGCCGGACTTTTTAGGACTTGCTGAGACTTGGCTTAACTCCGACGTCATACCCCAAGAAGTCGCGTTGTCAGGATACTCTTGTTTCCGATGTGACCGAAAATCAAAGGCTCATGGTGGTGTTCTGTTGCATATAAAATCGTCACTATCTGGTAAACTTACCGTCACCTATCGGAGCGAGGACAATTTATGCGAGCAATTGTGGTGCACAATCCGCCTCAGAGACGCAGAACTAATAGTGCGTGTTATCTACCGCAGCCCACTAAACCGTTGTTGCAACGGGCTACCACATATACAGAAGCACATCAGCCGCCCTCAGTTCTTATTGATGGGGGATCTAAATCTATCTAAGATATGTTGGCCAGACGTTCGGCTTCTTCACGGTCATAGCAATGTTGAGGTTCAATTCACTAAAATGATTATTGAAATCGGGGCAACGCAACATATCATCCAACGGACGCGTGTAACTCCGCACTCGGCAGCTTTTCTGGACCTTATGTTTTTCAGCTGCGAGCAGAAGCTGAACGAGATCAGAGTTCTCGAACCTCTGGCGAATAGTGACCACTGCTCCATTGTGGCAAGAATAGAACTGCCGTTATTGTATTACGACCACCGGAAATCGACATTCAACTATTGGAAGACGGACTTCAACGGACTCGTCCAAGCTGCAAGTCAGACTGATTGGGCACTACCATAGGATGCGTCGCTTGAGGCTTTTTGGTCATTAATGAGGGGGAAGCTTAACTCGCTGTATACTCGGTTCGTTCCTCTGAAGTATTCAAAAATTGAGCTCGTCAAACCGCATTGGTTTGATACAGAATATAGACAGTTAGCGCGATGGTGTCGCAAACTTTGGGATAGATACATCAGCTCGGGTTTTGATGACGATTACACGGTATACAAGGAACAGTGAAATTTATGCAACGCCGCAAAGAATAAGAAACGCCGACAGTTCGAAGAGGAGCTAGCATCCCCTTCGACATCCGCAACCAAATTAATATTTACCTACTTAAAACGTCAACTGAAACCTGGAGGCGACCTACCGGTCTTACAGAGCTTGGACGGACAGACGCTAATTTCAAGCGCGGAGCGCGCGGATGCCTTGACTACACACTTCCTCACCGTATTTTCTAGTAAACCGGCGGCTGTTTCAGTACCGGCACAGGTTGCACCAGTCTTGATCGACAGCCTACAATGTGATGCAATCGAAGTGTATCGGCTACTCGTCAATCTCGATACCACAAAGCCCCCGGACCAGACGGACTTCACCCACTGATCCTTAAGTCCCTATGAATTATCATCTCACCAGCCGTGACAAACCTATTCCATAAATCACTCTCTGAAGGATCTGTCCCTAACGACTAGAAATGCTCGATAGTGAGACCGCTTCCCAAGGGTTGTGATCCGAGTCAAGTAGAGAAATATGGACCGATCTGTTTGACTTCGATATTATCCAAAGTTCTCGAGAAGATTGTGGAAATTGTCTGCTGTCGTTCTTCGAATCCATGGACGTATTTACGCCAGCGCAACACAGTTTTACGAAAGGACCATCCTGCATCACCAACTTGATGTACGCAAACCACCAGCGGGTACGAGCTCTGAACGAACGAAAGGATATTGACGTGGTGTACATCGACTTTAGTAAGACCTTTGACAGAGTGAACCACGAGGTACTCCTTCATAAACTGAGGACGTACGGAATCGGTGGCACGCTACTTCAGTGGTTACACGAGTTTATTGTGGGACGGAAGTTTAGAGTACATGTCAATGACTACCTGACAGACTGGTTCCCATCGACCAGTGGCGTGCCTTAAGGTACTGTACTTTGGGCCAGTATTATTTCTTTGCCATATCAATGATCTTCGGCAGCAGTACCAGTCATCTTGTGCCCTGTTTGCGGATGATTTGAAAATCTGGAGGATCATTGAGAACTAGGACGACTGCACTCGCCTCTAGAACGACTTAGAGCGACTGTGTTATACTCTTCTCACTAGACGCAATTCCAAAAATAACAATTTAGTGCTCCACAAAACGTCTAGTCCAACCGAAGAAAAAGTAGAACGCCAATGACTGACAAACTAATGTATTAATCGCCGCCAACAAACACTGTACAACTACTGTGGACCTTGGCTGTATTCATAGATGTCTTACTGACCTTCGACTTCTAGAATTGGAAGGTCAGCCACCAATGTTAGTGCTTCCCCATATCTTTTGCCGAGGTGTCAGGTGGTTTTTAGTCACATGCAGAACCGGAACACTCCGGAACGTTTGCAATCGATGCGATAATCGTTAATAATCGATTACTCGCTAAAATAGTGGATTTCCTAGGCAATTCTTACTTTCTCCCGGACACCTCCCCTCCTGAAATATCGTCCGAGGTATACGACGAAAGCCTAGGATTTACTTGCAGTCTTCGGGACGGTGTTCTCTGTCTGTCGGTTCAGCTTCTTGTCAGAAGTGCCCGAGAACTTTGTTCCGATGTCCGTGTTCTGGATTCTTTGTTCGATTGTGTGCAGTCGTCCACTGCTACCTTCGGCAAGTTGAAGCTTTCTACCGGTAAATCGAACGGGAGGTCAGTAGGTCTTGCTTGTTCTGGTTGTCACAATGTGGGCTGTAACTGGTTTGCATGCCGTGGCCAGATCTATGCGCCCACCATCACGTCATACATGACGTTTCCGCGCTTGCTTTTGACCTTCCGTGGCGTCCATTTCGCATGGCACGTACTAACACCTGTCCAAGCGTAAAAGATCGCTTCTTTGATCCATGCCGCCGGGTAAAATCCTGTTCCATTCTGCGGTTTCTCTCACCAACAGAGGATTCCGAGCGCTGTCGGATGGCGTCGAAAGGCATACGGAGCTTCCGGTTCATCCTAGCCTGCGCTTGAGA